ACTAATTATATATTTTAAAACCCTATATCTTAAAATTCTAAACACTAAAAAATGTATTGACCCCCTAAACCCCCATAAACCCTCATAACTAAACCCTAATAAAACATAATTAACCCAAACATAAATAATATAAAAAAAAAAGTTTTGAAAAGTGGTATTTTGTAAGGATTTCAAAAGTGTGTCATTTTTGTAAAGTGGCACTTGAAAAGTGGTATTTTTTGAAATTTCTCAAAGTTGTTTTAACTAATCTAGTAGTTATATATTTATAATTGACAAAAGAACCATTTTTTATAGATATAAATAATATTTGTCTTAGATTGAAATGAAAATAATTGTTTCTCTTATTTATGTTAAATGAAAATATGAATTGATACTCAATCATTTTAATATCGATACGATAGTTCCTATTAACATAATCATTTTACATATTTCCAATTTTGAAATAAAAATATGTAAACATTTATCTTTACCATAAACTCATAATGTTTATACTTCTCTCATAAGAAGTACAATATAAATGAATATATTTCATGTTGTAATTTAATATTTATAACAATAAAATATTCAAATATTCTTGTATATATGTGCTACTTTATATCATTTATTTATTTATTTTCGTTTTTAATTTAATATTCTTAGTAAACAATTAATATACATAAACATATTTAATTGAAGATTTAAAATAAAATTTATTGTTAAACAAAAACTTTTGCTTAGATGGACATGCACCTTAAATGGAGATAAAACTTTCTAATTATATATATGATTATTTTCAATTGTCTTTAATAATTGAGAAATTTCAATAAAAATGCCACTTTTCAAGTGCCACTTTACAAAAATGCCACACTTTTGAAATCTTTACAAAAATACCACTTTTTTAAAATTAATTTTTCTTTATATTATTTATGTTTGGGTTAATTATATTCTATTATGGTTTAGTTTTGAGTGTTTAGGGGGTTTTAGGTGTCAAAACATTTTTTAGGATTTAGAATTTTAAGATATAGG